ATATCGTGCAGCAGCGAGCAGGTGCAGTCCATGAAATAATATTATAAAGCCACGACATCCTGGGCCTGCCTCGGCCACGACCTCCAGCAACACAACCCTGAAGAACAGTCAATGACAAACAGCCGGAACGAACAATATGACCATAAAATTGCAATTTCCTTTTACGAACAGAAACAATAAGTGGAACTTGTTTGTGAATACTATATTTCCTTTCTAATAGACACATTCGTCCGGTGATCAGTGAACGGAATCCTGAGAAGGCGTCGATAGCTTCTCATTTCGAAAGCCTCGATCTTTTTCACAATTTCAGCAGTTAAGGTCCAAGACCGGCAAGCATAAAGGAATATGGATAAAACAATAGCATTGAGTAGACGTAATTTCGAGCCGATACTGCGCTATGCCACCTGCGTTTTGGCGCTTTGCTCACTTTGCGCGCTCTGTTTTAGCTACCTGCCTGGGTATAAATTTGGACCCAGATGATGTACAGGTTATCAGTTGTCTGAGGATTGCCTTAGCTTTGCTATGTGCATGAAACGCAGCCCTACAACAATGACCTAGCCGGCTGTCTCTGTTCTCTTCTGCTTTTTTTGTAAATATATTATTAAGATGTAAAAATGTGAATGTACATCGGCAATGTCTATCATCATGCAGGCGTGTGTTTACCGCCATATTGCCAGGTGTGTCTTTACCACCATAATTATCAACCATAAGTACAGCATAAGTACAGCTGCAGTGGTGTCTTCGACTTCATTCTCCCGAACAGTGTAAACACAGTAAAACAAAGGATATTAAACCCAAGAGCAAAAGTGGTCTGTGATGGAAACTAGACCCAGACCGTCAATGTGCACAAGTAGCTGGTCACGTGACCAGTACAACAGCAATGTCTAACACGTAGAGTGCACGTGTTGGTACTTACTTCCTTTTCACTAATTTCAGTCATTCAGGAGTCTCTGATGAGGTCTGAATGACCGAAACAACTTTCGGAAAGTCTTACTTGTATTTCGTAGTATTTTCGGGACTCAGAAGTAGGGACCGGCGGATTCTGCTCGAAAAGCAGTGAAATTGGCAGAACGATACAAACCTTATGGCGGGCAATTCCTCGAATTCTGCTCCATTTCTTTATCCACATACCAAACATGCATGAAACTTACCAGAAAAAGTACTGGATTCTGCCAATTTCTCTGCCGGCAGAATCCGCTGGACCCTACTCAGAAGTAACCTGTTTCTGCTGAGAGAAGGCTGTGTGGTCGGCCAAAGGACGTTTAAGTGGTCAATCATTTTACGGAGACTTTTCAACAGCGAAATTTTGCTTCTTGCACCTGGCTTTGAATTGTTTTCTTTCCAAGGCAACTGTCAAGTAGTTTCTTAGGAACAGTCAGCGTTCTCTTTGACAACGCCATACCTGTGAAAAGCACCATCGACATTGCATAGGAGTGATAGGACTCAGTCAAACAGCTGCGGGCCAGGGGAAACCGGCTTGCCAAAGGAAAATCACGCGATCTGGAGTCAGGTGATCACGTTCGCAGCGTGCATTCCCCTGTACAACACAATCATGACTGTTCAGTCAGCATACTAGTATTTTTGTACTTCTACCATGGCTTGTGTAATGCATGCTGGCGTGCAGGTTGCAGTTTTCCTGCTACAATACAGTACGAAATAGAGGTTGCGACTTCGGCGATGATTTTGTTTAGGAATGGGTTTGCTCCCACACTGTAGCTTGCGCTATTCCGCCGACTTGACTTGACACTTGACTGACCAACGACTGCCATCCAGAAAACACGAAGCTCAACTGATGAGGGGTGAATTCCCCCAAAACACTGTGTATTGAGCAGGGAGTGGTGCTTTCTTGCAGGTTTGCAGAGTCGAAGGTTCGATGGACTTCTCGTGATCTCTGGATGGCAGTCGTGAGTCAGTCAAGTGTGAAGTCAAGTCGGCGGAATAACGCGAGCTCCAGTGTGGGAGAAAACCCATACCTATACAAAACAATATACTGAAGAAATCTCGTAGCCCATCCAACACACTCCGCATTTGTTTTTGTTTTTTTACTTCAGTCAGTGTAATATGACTACTACATGCGCTCTGCAGTATTCACTTCGTCTTGACTTGGGGGTTAGACATGGGGAAGTTCCCATACACTAACAGGGGTGGACTGGTGAGCCCGCCTGTCGACACCGGGAGTACATCTCGCTGGATTCTGTCTCTACTGAGAGTGAAGAGAATCCCCAAATACCCGATCTGGTGAACTGCGTCACGCGGATTTGCAGTCTCACCACCCAACTTGGGCGGGCCAGGAATATCAAAGATACATGTAATGGAAGGGGAAGCTTTACGAAAACGAATTGTACAAAACTAGACGCCAATATCTAACGGTATTCCTCACGCATGACACTATTGTGGACGAGTAGACTACGATAACAAGTACATGATTGTACTTCATAAGTTTCTTCAAAACTCCTTCTCTTGTGTTTTTTCTACTTTGCATTTATTTTTGGCTCAGTATCCGAGTTCAGAACTAAATATTGCGACAGAGCTTTCGGCCATATTTTCAATTCATTGCATTCCCAACTCATCACAACCACGCGCTGTTCAACCGAACCATACAGACACCAGCAAGGACACTTCCGTTGAGAGATAATATTGCTCCACGCCTCTAGACAGCTGTTTCGCTCCCTGTCGGAGCTCATCAGTAGAGGATGATAATGATGATAATGGAGGAATTCTTATATACCTGAAATGGCGCAAGTGCGCGATTATATCAATGGCATATGCAAGCTGCTGAAGAGCGCGTGGTTGTGATGAGTTAGGAATGCAATGAGTATCCGAGTTAGTTAATTAAGCACAAAAATCATCAAAAATAAAGAATGAACAGTGCAAACCCAGTAAAAAAAAGGATATTCAAACCCAAGAGCAAAAGTGGTCTGTGATGGAAACTAGTCCCAGACCGTCAATGTGTACAAGTAGCTGGTCATGTGACCAATACAACAGCAATGTCTAAAACATAGAGTGCACGTGTTGGTACTTACTTCCTTTTCACTCATTCAGGAGTCTCTGATGAGGTGTGAATGACCGAAACAACTTTCGGAAAGTCTTACTTGTATTTCATAGTATTTTCAGGACTCAGAAGTAACCTGTATCTGCTGAGAGAAGTTTGTGTGGTCGGCCAAAGGACGTAAAAGTGGTCAGTCAATTTACAGAGACTTTTCAACAGCGAAATTTTGCTTCTTGTACCTGGCTTTGAATATTTTTCTTTCCTAGGCAACTGTCAAGTAGTTTCTTAGGAACTGTCAGCGTTGTCCTTGACAATGCCATACCTGTGAAAAGCACCATCGACATAATCATTGCATAGGAGTGATAGGACTAAATCAAACAGCTGCGGGCCAGGGGAAACCGGCTTGCCAAAGGAAAATCACGCGATCTGGAGTCAGGTGATCACGTTCGCACCGTGCGTTCCCCTGTGCAACACAATCATGACTGTTCAGTCAGCATACTAGTATTTTTGTATTTCTACCATGACTTGTGTAATGCATGCTGGCGTGCAGGTTGCAGTTTTCCTGCTACAATACAGTACGAAATAGAGGTTGCGACTTCGCCGATGATTTTGTTTAGGAATGGGTTTGCTCCCACACTGGCGCTCACGCTATTCCGCCGACTTGACTTGACACTTGACTGACTCACGACTGCCATCCACAAAACACGAAGCTCAACTGATGAGGGGTGAATTCCCCCAAAACACTGTGTATTGAGCAGGGAGTGGTGCTTTCTTGCAGGTTTGCCGAGTCGAAGGTTCGATGGCCTTTCGTGATCTCTGTATGGCAGTCGTGAGTTAGTCAAGTGTCAAGTCAAGTCGGCGGAATAACGCGAGCTCCAGTATGGGAGAAAACCCATACCTATACAAAACAATATACTGAAGAAATCTCGTAGCCCATCCAACAAACTCCGCATTTGTTTGTTTTTTACTTCAGTCAGTGTAATATGACTACTACATGCGCTCTGCAGTATTCACTTCGTCTTGATTTGGGGGGTTAGACATGGGGAAGTTCCCATACACTAACAGGGGTGGACTGGTGAGCCCGCCTGTCGACACCGGGAGTACATCTCGCTCGACTCTGTCTTTGAAGAGGATAACTGGATTGCCAAATACATGTACCTGATCTGGTGAGCTGCGTCACTGGGATTTGCAGTCTGATGTGCGACCGCTGGGCTCGAACCGGCGACCTCTCGCTAGTCTCGGTCCGTATTTGATGATTAGGTAGCTTGGTTACAGTCTGTAAGTACTAGTACAGACAGTCCTAGTACTGTCGTAGACATGGAAATCCGGTCGCACGTCTAGCGGCCCCAGGGCGCTGGCCATGCAGCCATGGCATGCATTATTACGCGCTGCTGCTGGTCGCATCAACATGATTGTGCGCTGCATGCAACGACTTTCAAAAGTTCTGTACGCGCTGAGGGCGCGGGCCCCGGTCAATCCACTGGTATTCCCATGTCCTAGTAGTAGAGTGGTGTAGGTTTGTGACTGCATCATTCCAATGCTACTTACTGCAATGGCTGTACCACTCAGCGGCTACCACAAATCTTTGAACGTCTTTGTGTGACATTTACATCGTACTAGTCATGCAGATCGCCAGATGCCGAACTGAACCAGTGCCGCAGTGGCCTGCCGTCTACGGGACTGCTTCCCGGCCTCGACATGTTTCAGATGCGCACCAGGTGACCTCATCATGATGGACACTGGATACTGGATACCGATGTCTACTCTCTACTGTCTACTGTCTCCTGTTACTCGAGCAGGGCCAGGCGCGGGGAAAGGGCCAGCACAGGTCAGGGGACAGTCACGAAGAACGCTGGCGACTGCGTTGTTCGTCTGGGCCAGACTAGAGACTAGTAGATCCACTAGAGTAAGGTTGAGCCCACATGACATCATGGTCCGACAACATCCTGACAGGTCGTGTTGCTGCCCATGCACGGCTGCTGCTGGTGCCTGGCCACGGTGGCCAGACCAGGCAACGCGTAGATCTGCAGTCTTTGAATGCAGCGCTGTTACCAGTAAAGCCTTATCTACCGTTGTCCCTACATGTAGTTCGAAACACAACTCCGAAACGAACAAGTATACTTATTAGGATCCCCTGTGCGGACCCAAGCGCAGATAGTCACTGAGCTGGGAGTTTTCATTTACCTTCTAGAGTCTGGAAGACCACGGCCACGCTCTTGCAGATCGATCACGGGCTTGGCTTTCGGACGCACTCCACCCTCCCTGGCGCGCATGTAAAGCCGTAGAGATGGCGACATCAACGCCTGAAGCGGCGTTACTGCGAGATCTAGGCTTAGCCAGAGGTGAAATCGCGTACCACGGTATTTTCACCGTCGAGGATCAGATTGGCCGCGGTTCAGACGCTGATGTGTATCGAGTAGTATGGCAAGGCATACCGGTAGCCGCAAAGGTGTTTCACCCAAGACATGATCAAGCAGATGTGGAGGGGAGAGATAAGAACCTGCGGCGATTTGGCGCTGAGATAGCAAGACTGTCTCAGCTGCACCACCCAAACTTGTGTCAAGTTCTCGGTGTTGCAGTCACTGCCGATCGTCATCTTCCAGTGTTAGTGGTTGAGCTATTCGATCATACCCTTTGTCAATGCAGTGTCGGTGCAGATCGGTCTGACCATGTCGCCCTGCTATCTTTCCTGGCGGATGCTGTGGCGGGTGTTCGCTATCTCCATAGCAGAGATCCCCCTGTCATTCATCGTGACCTGACTTTGCGCAATGTGTTGATCAAGGGCCAGATCGCAAAGCTCTGTGACTTTGGTTGTGCGCGACTGCGACCAACAAGTCCTGCGGATTTGGTTGGCTTTCTTCCAGATCTAACGGCATGCCCAGGGAACGTGCTGTACATGGCGCCGGAGGCTCTGCAAAACCCTCCGGTGTACGACGAATCGCTCGACATATTTTCGTTTGGCGTGCTGGCCACGAGCGTCGTGACAGGAGTTGAACCGTCGACAGACCTGCACACCTCAGCAAGGAACATCAGAGAGATTGTGCGGCGAGCAGACGGAACGAGTGAGGAGACCGTCACGCCTATCACTGAAGTCGAGCGGCGCGGCGTTGATTTGGAAAGAATACCAGACGGTCATCCACTCAAGCCTGCAATCTTTCGCTGCCTGGCAGTCGTTGCGGAAGATCGTCCCAAGGCTGAGGAGCTGCATGAGATAGTGCTGGACACTGTGAAGGTGGCACGTGGTTTGTCTCCCGTAAGCGATAATTATGATTATTTTGTATTTGTATTTTGCATACAAAGGGGTGGGGGGGGGGGGGGGGGGGGGAACGGGCAACTGCTCTCTTCAGTTGTAATTCACTCTTAGCACAAGCACTGGATGAACATTATTTCATTACTCATGTCGAAAAATTAAACTCAGTTCTGACGATTGGTTACTGGCCCGAAGCGTCAATAATTTTTCAACATCACTAATAACATAATTTTTCATCCAGCGCATGCGAGAGTGAATAGCAACTGAACAGAGCGGTTGTCAGTTGACAACCCCCCCCCCTTTTTTTTACAATGCAGTTGCGTGATGTTCACCACTTTCTCAATATACTATACTTGTACAGGTGGAATCCTGATAATTCGAACCTCAAAATGCCAGGAAAAAACTTCCAATTATCCGGACATTCTAATCATCCAACATGAACGAACAACACAATAATGCATGTCAAAAATGCTCTCATGGCCACGCAGAGCTCCGCTATGGACCTAGACAAGGATTTCACGGATGCTGAACTGACCGACACAGCCTGCTCATGCAAACTGAACTGACCAGTACAATGTACAGTGAACTTCGAATTACACTTTGCTAACTTCGAATTATCAGCACAAATCCCACACATGTTCTATGTAGGTGGAATCTGTGGGACTTCGAATTAACCGGACATATCCAGTTTGAGGTTCGAATTATCAGAAATTTGTATGTGGGAATCGTATTGATAGAAATCGGTCCTGGAAAAACTTCTAATTAAGCGGTATGTTCGAATTAAGCCATATTCGAATTATCAGGATTCCACCTGTATCATTTTTGGGAAGAAATCACGATAGGGCTAGATGTCGATGACGTAAAAAAAATGTAAAGAGAAATGGAAATGTCAACGTTTGGATCCAATCTGCCAATAACGAAAAAATCTGGCCGATGCTGCAGTAGTCGACTACGCTGCATGCAGCATTAGCTGGACTAAAAAATATACCTATATAGTATAGGATGTGGTAGTAGGACCCCTTGTCTAGTATAGGATGTGGTAGTATGACCTCTAATCTTGCATTTATATGTAGTAATAATGTAGGCAGGCATAGTGGGATGGTCTAAGACCATTATTGAGAAACACAGGGTGCCAGGTTCAAGTCCTACTTGGAAGCGGAAGGAATTTTTCCGGCCGTGCTGCGACCCACAGTTAATTGGGAACTCGTGGCCTGGCATGAGAGTAACATGGATGCAATTAATGGGATTTCGGTCTTTGACCACTTTGTAGTGGGCCTCATCTACTCACCTGCCACCGTTTAGGCTCTGCATCTGCGCCTTGATCCTAGAGGGTGGTGGTGTTTCTACGGATGCGAAAAGTCGTCTTCCAGCCGAGTCTCATGCGAACCGTTAAATTTTAAATTTACTTCGAAGTAATTTTTTATAATATTTTCCGAATCAGGATTTGGTCCCAGCCCGAGAGGTGGTGCAGTCCAGTCACTACCGGCTGGTTTGGTATCCTGATGTGAAGGGAAAACACCCAAACACATTGTGTGGATACATACAAGAACTGTACACAAGTGGATCAAAAAGTCAGCGTTGTCATGACTCCTGTCTGGCGGTGACGTAGCACTTTCAAGCCCTATTATTCCAGGCGGATCCAGATTAGGGGACATGCCTCCCCCCCCCCCCCCCGCCTTCAGGGTCACCGATTATTTGTTTGTTTGGTTGGACGCGCAATTTTCAGGCGTGCACATACACCAGGGTAACTGCACGGCTCTCGCCGAGTGCTTGAGTATTTTTAAGCGCTACATAGTTTTTGAATTTTGTTTTTTCATGATGAAGCCATCAATCATGAAGCTAGAACAGGAGCAAACAACTACTTGTAAGTTCCCTGAAAACCTAAGAAAGTAGCGCAGAGACTCAGACGGCAGCGCCACTCCTGAAGTTGCAGCTTACGCCAAAACTCAGGATTGTGTTGGTTGCCCGGAGGAGAAAGTTGAACTTGTGGAAGTGGTAAGGCGTTTGAAGTAGCGTTGCTAACCCGTTAGGTGAGAACGAGGGCAATGAAGAGGGACCTGTTGTGTTGCTGACCAATCCTTGTAGTGATGATGCTGTTGAGGGGTCTGTTCAGTTCCCGAGTGCTTGTGCTTGTTCAGTTCCCGAGTGCTTGTGCTTGTTCAGTTCTCGAGCGCTTGTGCTTGTTCAGTTCTCGAGTGCTTGTGCTTGTTCAGTTCCCGAGTGCTTGTGCTTGTTCAGTTCCCGAGTGCTTGTGCTTGTTCACTTCCCGAGTGCTTGTGCTTGTTCAGTTCCCGAGCGCAGAGTTTCTGCGTTTGGTGACCGTTGTCAAGGACAGTCGCTTCAAGGACGCGTAGCGCCTGTTTGATGGCACAGGCATTCCCTTAACAACCTATGGTGCACGGTATCTTTGTGCTGCAATCGCCACACCTGAATTCTTAGCAGTTTGTGGGAAAAAGGTACAGAAGTAGTCGGATAAGGTGCGTCGACTTGCCGTTATTGCCAACAGCCAACCACAGTCGGCCTTTGCCGTGCCGACCCAGGCTTTGGCAAATGAATGTGTGCCATTGCATGTGGATTTCAGAATTGCTGCTGGGGCCTCTTGAACAAGCCATTGACTCTGAGCTGATACCAGCATTGACTGGTCTTCCTCCGCCTGGCGACAGTTTGCGCAGCCTCTTTGCTTTGCCATTCCGTCTTGTGTGAATTAGGTATCGGAAGGCTATGTATGTTAACCCAAGAGTATTAGTCTTCTTCTTTACTTATCATAGTCTGCCTCGTTTGCCGAAATTGTGCCAGGAGAATTTGATCTTGGTGATGTGCTGTAGATGATTCCACAGCAGCGGCATGTTGTTCAGGGACAGGTTTGGCACCAGCAGTCTGAGTAACTTTATACAATTACCGTATTTACCGGAGTATAACGGGCACCTAGGTATGATGCCTGCCACCTCTTTTTGTACCAACGTTGTGGCAACTCAAGGTATATTCGGAGTAGAATGCGCAGTCTAGATTGGAGAGCTTTTTCGTACATTTACATGTACATGTACGCAGCAATAGAGCGGAAAAAAGGGAGGTTACGCTTTACTTAATTACGTATGAAAATAAAGTAGGAACTGCAACGTATGGCATGCTGGCCATGTACCGCAGGAATGAGTGGACACTACCCTTGTGCTGAACACGAAGAAAGGGGACTTGATCCGATGCGACAACTGGCGTGGCAGCGTGATGCTCGATGTTTTCGGTAAGGTCCTGGCGAGCCTCATTGAGACGGGACTACAGAGCCTGGCGAGCAGCTTCCTGCCGGAATCGCAATGCGGCCTTCGGCGAGGCAAATCCTGCGCGGACATGGTATTCAGCGTACGTCAGCTGCTGGAGAAGACCATAGAGCACACAACCAGGGGCTTCTTCGTTTTCATTGACCTGAAGAAGGCCTTCGACTCCGTGCCCCGTGAGTGCCTCTGGCAGGTGCTCTCCTGTGCTGGTGTCCCTCCCCCATGCTTGCAGTCATCCGATCTTTCCACCATGAGATGTCTGCAGTATTGCGCGTGAGTGGCACAGACGTAGATCCGTTTAGCATCACCAACGGCTTGGGGAAAGACTGCACTATGGTTCCTGTCCTCTTCAACATCTTCATGTGGGCAGTCGTCACCAAGTGGCAACAGAGGGTCAGAGGTTTTCCTGGAGTTAGATTCGAGTTCAGCTACCACTATGGTGAGGGTCAACTATATCGCAAGGCACGCCGGGCTGACACCGCTGCCACCGCCCTAGAGGCACAGTTCGTGGACCATTTCTCCCTGCTTGCAACATCGTGTGCTGGTGCTGAGATTGCCTAGGACCTGTTCAACTCGACCGCTTCGGAGTTCGGCCTCACACCGAGTGAGACAAAACCAAGTTCTTGGTTACGGGAGCTGGCGTCACGGCTGCGGACCAGGCTCAAATGCAGCGTGTGGAGATTGAGTGTGTGACGGAATCCAAGTACCTGGGGTGCATCATCCACTTTGGCAGCCGATCAGCGCAGGATATCAGCGCTTGGGTTGCAAGTGCGTCCCGGGCTTGAGGTGCTCTGTGGCAAGCTTTTTTTCAGGAACAAAAACTTTGATTTGCATATTGACTGCTGTGTGTTTAATATATGCGTCCTTTCTCTGTTCCTGTATGGGTCCGAGTGCTGGACGCCGCTGAAGCAGGTCCTCTGTCGCATGTCTGTTTTCCACATTTGATCCGTGTGTTCGATATTTGGTATCTCACGCCATCGTAACTGGGATGACCGCATATCCAACAACTAGCTGCTTGAGTTGTGGGGTGACTCCAAAACCATCGTCACAAAGGTACAGCATAGGCGTCTTGAGTGGCTGGGCCATGTCGCCGGCATGGACGACGTGTAACCAGTTGCTGTTCGGCACCCTGCCTCCTCGTCGCCCAGCAAATAGCCCACGTCAACAGTGGAAAGACTGTGCTGTGAAGGACCTCCGCTCAGGAGACCTTGAAGCGGACTGGTACAGAGTTGCCTGTGGCTCTCACCGAGACTGCAGGTTGGCTTATACTTCGGACGCCCTGGATCCCCCTGTACAGGCATTGGTCACTTGCTGCACATGCGCCCGGCACTTCACACATCAGGGCAACCTCGATAGGCACAAGTGAACGGCTGAACGACAGAAGCCGGTTTCGGAGCGGAGAGTTGCATGTCAGTGCCCTGGGTGTCATATTTGGTTCCGGAGCCGCTGTGGCTGTGCTGTTGGTCGTTTCTCCGCCTCATGCATGGCACCGACCGCATCAGCTGCTGCTGGCACCGTTGATTCTACTGCTCGGAGTTGCTGCAATGCTCACTGTGACATCTGCAACCGTTGTTTCTTCTGAACCCAAGGACGCAACCGACATCTCTGTTCAATGCACTGCCACCGTCCAACGTCTAGAGAACGGGATCAGTTTTCGCATTTTTGTACTTCCTCCGTATACAAAAAATTCGTGACTTTTTGAAGGCTGTGCACAGCTCTGGAATTGTTCCGTTTGACTTGGAGTAACACTTGTGGCATTGTCTAACCTCGATACAAGCTAAATACAAAGAAAAATGCAAGGCAAACAAATGAGATTGAGTTTTTTCAGAGTATTCGGCGCTCGTATTATTGTCACCTGACGACGCTGACTCTGCATCGTCAACAGTCGCTGCTTCCACTCGCATTTCGTTCAGATTATTTTCAGCTGCAGTGATGATCCGACGTGGGACTTTGGTTATGTCCTCTTCATTTCCAGCGCTGTGTATGAATCGGTGTCGACTATATTCAGTCGGTCCTACCCGCGACCTCCATTATGCCGTCAAACGAGTCCCTCAAGCACATTCACAAGCTACACATTTTCTCGGCAGGAAAATCCTCCCAGCATTCTACAACGGCTTCGAGGAGGTCCCTGCGATTCCCCTTGGCGACGAAAGAGATGTCTGACTGGAGAGAGGGGAAGAAATCCAGGTTGTCGACATTCCGATCAGGAGTCTGCGCTGGTTGCACGACGACTGAAATGTTTCGTCTTGCGAGCGGAACCGATTTCTGTTCTCACGCTGCGTATGGGGCCGCGCACCGCAAGTAGGAGCCAGACCAGCCCCAGGACAGCGAGTGCCGCGTGACTCCGTGTTCCAGTCGCGAGCTCCACTTCGTCACGGTGTCAGTTCGAGCAAGTAAGTGTTATTTTTTTCATTTGACTCGTAGGTTCCTGTCGGGAACGTCCTGACACGCATGGCTTCCGTGTAGAATCTGTTCGGGATCGAACAAACTTGCCTCATGAATGTGAGTTATCCATGGCAGCCTTTGGCACGGTTCATTGAGCAGGTTCTTTATCGCTCCACATATACTGGCACACACAGAGACAGAGACAGCAACAGCGACAATACACAAAGTGAAGGGTGGTTGGCCACAGCCAGATGTGAACCGGATATAGAGTGAGGCATGGAAGCAATGACTGGGAACAGAGTGTCTCAGATAGAATAGGCATTGTCAGAAATAGGCCATTATGCAGAACCACTTAGGTCCGTCAGATTAATGTCCTAGACCGAGCCAGCTGGGAAAAAACCCTCGCGCCATAGGAGGCAGTTGTGAGGGAAAAAACCGGGTGTATATCCCCAATGGCGATTAGGCATCATGTAGGCATGGCAAGCACATCACGGCAAAAAGTGATAAAAAAGCAATGAAAATATGCACAGAAATGAAGAGTGGGAGGGCAGGGACACTGGTGAGACTCAACACTGACTGAGGAAATCAGGAAAAGAAGCGACAATAAAGGACACACCAGATGCCCTATTTGCAACTGAAAATGTGTCGCGAGAAATTATTGTGAAAAAAGTCACGAAGTCTTTGTATACGGAGGAAGTATCTGCTCTCGCCAGTTCCGACTAGTCTCGCATCTGGAGCGCCATCGGATGGCGTGCTCTTTGTCTCTCTCTGCTGCCCCTCTGGTTACGACGTGACTCTTGTGATAGTGGCTCCACAGGACAGGTGTGTGTGTGCGTGCACGCGTGCGTGTGTGCGTGTGTGCGTGTGGGTGCTTAAGTGTGCATAACTGTGTTGGTACAACGTGTGGTGTTGTTGTGTTGATAAGAAGTCTGTGGTGTTATTGTGTGGGTATGCTGTGTTGTATGCTGTGTTGTGTGGGTATGCTGTGTTGTGTGGGCATGCTGTGTTGAGTGATGTTGTTGTGTGGCTGTGTGGCCATGCTCTGTGTGGCGTTGTTGTGCTTGCTACACTTGTGTGTTCATTACAGCCTCATCTTTCCAATGTACAACGATCTGTTGTACGTCGACTGGACTCTATCTCCGAACAGCTAACCCAGCAAGCTGCATCCATTACTGCATTGTCGGCACGCAGTGATACGCTAGAGGAACAGCTAACAGCGGCCATTACCAACAACCAGACAACCACACAACAACAACTTGCTGCCACACAACAACAACTGACTGCCACACAACAACAACTGACTGCCACACGTGAGCAAGTATCTGCAGTTCAAGACAAACAGAGTTCAGCAACGCAACGACTTACTGAACATCTGGAGGCCATTGCTGAAAACCAGACCATGACGCAACAACAACTGACTGCTACTCAACAACAGACTTCCCGACAGATGACAACGTTGACGGACCAAATTTCTGCTGTTTCTGGCCAGCTAACAACGATGTCTGCATCCACCCATCAGGTATGAATCTTAAATCCCAGAAATAAAACGTTAGTTAATAGTGTTGAAAAGGCGGTGAGGTGCCAGCAGTTTAGGGATTGCAATAAGCAGAACCAGCTGAATATCTTTATCAGATTGACTGTTCATCCTGAATGAAAATTTTGAACGGGACACTCTGTGACCCATGTTCCTGGTGACTTCGTTTCTTCAGCAACATATGGACCCGCACGATTTAGCAATAAATCCTATCGTTAGTTGGCAGTCCTTTATGCAGTCACTGTAGGCCATAGATTGGTGAAGGCTCCTAGTGGCTGAAGTAGTTTGCAGAAGCAGACACCAACCCAAAAAGGAGGACATGCTTGACTTGTTGTAGAAGATAAGGAAATCAGACAACTGTAATCTGTGCCAGCAATCAGGTTTATAATTATGGTGGGCTGGACCATAGTGTATTGAACTTTTCTGTAACTTGTCTTGACGGAAATTGATGTGTGACTGACTACAGGGGTTGATGTTATTATGTGTGCATGCACTCACATCATGTGTGTGTGTGTGTGTGTGTTTACGTGTGTGTCTCTGTGTATCTGTGTGTGTCAGCTGCAGATAAGGCCTACCACTGCACCCGAAAGCCTGTCAAGTTCTCCTTCTGCCACTGCCTCAGCTACAACAGATGTGGTAAGTTGAAAAACAGTTTTCTCTGTAATGCCAGTTATACACTAGGCCAGTTTGTCGGCCAATGCTTCGACACCGACTACAACATGAAATAGGCGGACTGTGTCTGAAGAGTCAGACTACCTATTCAAAACACAACAGTGAGCTATTTCACTTGTAAAAAAGTCTGTGCACACACATGCAAATTGTACACAGCCACACTAGAGAGTGGTAGATACCGGAGCGGAGATGTGATCGTTCTATATACACAAGGTACAGGGTCAACAGCATAAAAGGGCTAGTTCACAATCTGCATCGACTCTCTCTGCGGTCATGTTGAAATTCCTTGTTGGAGGCCCGGATTTCACAGCAGATGATATTCGCCCTGATCTTGATGATTTTTCTCGTATGATTCCACGTCAGCCGGGTAGTTGTAATACACTTCCCGGTTTGTACGGTAGCACGGTTGCATTCCAGTTTCTGACAATCACATTGGACGCCGTCGATCAGCGTCATGAGTGTCCCATCGCTTCTAAAGGCGTGTTACGTCGCGCCTCGTCAAATGTGAACTAGACTTTAGCATCCCCCATTTCACCCCTCACCCTGATTGCCGGTTAAATAGTAAAAATTCATACTGCCCTCCCTGACATGCACCACCCTATAATTATACCAATACAACTTTCACATAACCGGGTATCCTCTAGAATCCAGTCCGATATCCGGTCATTGTCGGGTATCAAACTTTTAAGTGAACATTTTATATCCAGCATGTTGGTGTGTTGTTTAATTGTGTAATCATGCGAATGAACTTTTGTTTGTGTGTGCGCGTGTTTGTGTGCATGTGTGTGTGTGTGTGTGTGTGTGTGTGTGTGTGTGTGTCTGTGCCGGTGTGATAAACTGCAGGTACCTGTTTCTAGTCCCATTGCTGCACAAGACAGCCGGTCAAGTTCAGCTTCTGCCCCTGCCCCTGCCCCTGCCTCTCCTACAGCAACGACAGTAAGTTGAACGACATAACCTAAATTGTAAAGCTGTGTTCACAACTGGCGCGTGGACGTGGTACGCTTGTGGTTCATGCGTGCCCAAAGACGCACTCAGGCTTTCACCATAAACAGCAATATGAATGGATCTAAGCCCATTTGAAGCAGTCTTACTCACAGCAAGGTGATATTGCTGGTAAAATTTACTGGGTTGGCTGATGAGGATGGGTCGACAACTGGTGGCGAAGAAAAAGTCACGGGTAGCACGGGTACCCGATCGGGTTATGTTTCCATGGTAACACCACAATGCACCCCTTCCCTTACACACTGGGTAGACATGCGGAGTATTACATGAATTTGTACACTCACGCTGTACATGATGTCATCTGCGACTTCGGGTTTCGGGTACTATTCTATGCCCGTTTACCCGAGGTCCTCACTGGTAGCTCGGTTACCCGACTATCCGAGCACAGCACTAGTTGCTATGCACCCACACACTGTAGGCAATAGCAAAGTCACACTTAGTGGATTCAAACCTAGAAATATAACGTGAACTTACTACTCCCTGGCCGTTTTGACGCTATCACTTCCAAGCCCTATTGTGCCGGGCTTGCCCATAGTGTACTGAGCTTTTCTGTAATTTGGCTTGAAGGAGATTGATGTACGACCAACTGCTGAGGTTGATGTTTTTTGGTGATCGCGTGTGCGAATGTTTGAGTGACTGTCTGCATGTGCACACACTCGCATGATGTGTGTTGGTGTGTGTGTGCATGTGTGTGTGCATGTGTGTGTGTGTGTATGTTTGTGTGTGTGTGTGTGTGTGTGTGTGTGTGTGTGTGTGTGTGTGTGTGTGTGTGTGTGTGTGTGTGTGTGTGTGTGTGTGTGTGTGTGTGTGTGTGCGCAACTGTGCTTGAAGGGGACGGTTGCACTTTTTGTAGCTTCGTTTTATCTGAGTTTTCAGTCGTTCCTCTTACTAGTCTTAGGCCACGGGGTGGCTCTTGGTCCACCAGAGTTGCCTCTGGCGTGTTTATGAATTTGCTGGGCCGAGGGTTCCGCGACGCGGTCGCCAGGGCAGTGTCTTTTCTGTCACGACCATTGTCGTCCTCGTCTCTCCATTCGCGGTGGTGTAGCTGACCCTCGAATGGTTTCAAACTGCGAAACTCGGAGTACAGTGGTGGCAGAGGCATTAGCTGTGAGTGGAGATGGTTCCTGGAGATGGATGGTGATGCAGGGAGAAGGTTTACTCTGCCTGACAACGCGTGGGTAATTGTTTGATCCTCCAATTTCAGGTCGAGCGCGGTGGACTTTTAGACGATGTGTCCTCATGGCTATTTTTCAATGCTTGGCCTATCGCTGATATCCCTGCATGGGATTTCTTCCAGTGGAGTCCAGGTGGGAATTCGGGTGCCCACACTACATCACCTGGTTGATTGTTTCGCAACTGCAATAACACAGGTTCAAATAATTATTGTTTCCTTTTTGTGCGTATTTCTTGTCATCTCTCTTTTTCTATACGTCACACACCAGATGTACTACTATCGCCGTTTTTCTCCTGCAATCTCTCTCTGCTTGCTGTTTTTTTTAATTTCTTGCCACTGTCCCTCATCATACCCATGCTTGGGTGGAGGGCGGCGTGACCCGTTAGGGTAGCTGTCAATACAGTACAGTACAGTGTGTGTGTGTGTGTGTGTGTGTGTGTATGCGTGTGTGTGTGTGTGTGTGTTTCCATTAACTGCAGGTAAGGCCTACCACTGCGCCAGAAAGCCTGTCAAGTTCTGCTTCTGCCATGTCGTCTGCTACAACAGCTACGGTAAGTTGAACAACATTTTTTGTCTGTAATGCCGGTTTCACACTAGGCCAGTTTATGGTCCAATGTTTCCACACCGCCTCCGACATGAAATCTGCTGACTGTGTCGGATGAGTCAAACTACCTGTTCACACACTCAACAGTGAGGTATTTCACTTGTAGACCTGACTGTGTACACACATACAAGTTGTACACAGCCACACTAGAGAATGGTAGACGCCAGAGCGGAGATGTTATCGTTTCTATATACACAAGCTACAGGGTCAAAAGCATGAAAGGGCTAGTTAACAATCTGCATCGACTCTCTCTGCTGTCATGGTGAAATTCCTTGTTGGAGGCCCGCTCCAACATGTGAAAGCACTAAATGTCAGCCCACCTTTGGGTCAAATATTGATCCTGCGATACTTGGTCGAAAAATCGTATCAAAAGAAAATCGTAGCAGATTTGTCAGAATCCTGTGTGACAACGGAATTCACACCAGGTGATTTTCACCTTGATCTTGTTGCTTTTTCTCGTATGATTCCATGTCAGCTGGGAAATTGTACTACACTTCCCGGTTTGTACGATACCACGGTTGCATTCCCGTTTCTGACAATCACATTGGACGCCGTCAATCAGCGTCACGAGTGGCCTGTCGTTCCTAAAGGCTTGTCACGTCACGCCCCGTCGAATGTGAACGAGTCTTAGATTAGGCATCCCGCATGTCACCCCTCACCCTGATTGCCAGTTTAACAGTAAAAAATTCATAATACCCTCCCTGACATGGACCACCCTACAATTATACCAATACCACTTTCACATAACCGGATATCCTCCCCCACCGTTTAGGAGCCGCGTCTGACGCCTGATCATGGGGTGGTGGCGTCCCACGGAATCGGAAAGTTGGTTCTTGACCAGGGAGTTGTACGACTCCTTGTTCTTGACCTGCCTGGTACGCGAACCAGTCGAGTTTATTATTATTATTTTTATGTAACCCCTCACCCTGATTTCCGGCTAAATAGTAAAAATTCATAATGCCCTCCCTGACATGCACCACCCTATAATTATACCAATACCAATTTCACATAACCGGATATCCTCTAGAATCCACTCCGATATCCGGTCACTGTCGGGTATCAAACTTTTAAGTTAACATATTATATCCAGCATGTTATTGTGCTATTTACTAGTATAATCATGCGAATGAACTTTTCGTTTGTTTGTGTGTGCGTGGTTGTGTGTGTGTGTGTGTGTGTGTGTGTTTGTATATGTGTGTGTGTGTGTTTGTGTGTGTGTGTGTGTGTGTGTGTGTGTGTGTGTGTGTGTGTGTATGCGTGTGTCTGTGCCGGTGTGATAAACTGCAGGTACCTGTTTCTAGTCCCATTGCTGCACAAGACAGCCGCTCAAGTTCAGCTTCTGCCACTACCCCTGCCCCTGTCTCTCCTACAGCAACGAGAGTAAGTTGAACGACGTAACCCATATTGTTAAGCTGTGTTCACAACTGGTGCGTGGACGTGGTACGCTTGCGTTTCATGCGTGCCCAAAGGCGCGCTCAGGCTTTCACAAAAAACAGCAATATGGATGGATCTAAACACATTTCAAGCAGTCTTACTCACAGCAAGGTGATATAGCCGATAAAATTTACCGGGTTGGCTGATGAGGATGGGGTGACAACTGGTGGCGAAGAAAAAGTCTCACCTGCATAAGACATGAGTGGGTTGCTATTAGGGCTGAGTCGGGAAGCATTTTCTTCCGGTATCGGGTTCGGGTAGTTTTCACGGGTAGCACGGGTACCCGATCGGGTAATGTTTCCATGGTAACACCACAATGCACCCCTTCCCTTACACACTGGGTAGACATGCGGAGTATTACATGAATTTGTACACTCACGCTGTACATGATGTCATCTGCGACTTCGGGTTTCGGGTACTATTCTATGCCCGTTTACCCGAGGTCCTCACGAGTAGCTCGGGTACCCGACAACCCGTGCGCAGCACTAGTTGCTTTGCACCCACACACTGTAGGCAATAGCAAAGTCACACTTAGTGGATTCAAACCTAGAAATATAACGTGAACTGACTACTCCCTGGCCGTTTTGACGCTATCACTTTCAAGCCCTATTGCGCCAGGCTTGCCCATAGTGTACTGAGCTTTTCTGTAACTTGGCTTGAAGGAGATTGATGTACGACCAACTGCTGAGATTGATGTTTTTTTGGTGATCGCGTGTACGAATGTTTGAGTAGGGATTTCAGGCGGTTTTTTCTGAGCAGCGCTTTGCTCCAACTAACAAGTTTCCCTGAAGCATCTATGTGTAAGGACTGTCCACAGAAAATTTGAACGGAATCCAAGCAGTATTTCCAAAGTTATGAGCATTCAAACATAGCGCACCAACCTTGATGAACACACATACAAATTGGATCTGCAGGATGGCACAAAATGGAATTCCCATACTCCCTAGCAACACCATAGCAACAAATAAACTTCATCCGATCGTGGCCAAACTTGGATCAAGGATGGCCCTGGTTGTGACGGAACGGAAGATAAAAGTTTTTTTCCAAAATTCCAAATGACCGCAGCAATGGCGTCCTTAGCAACGGCCCTAGCAACAGTATATTTCACGCATAATTCAACATGGTAATAGGTGGAATATGACAGAAATACGGCAAACACAACATTTAAGTTATATAGCATGCATGTGGGAAACTAGACGAGTAGACAGCAAGCTCTGATGTCACACAGGGCCCGTTTTCGGCTGCAACGAATCAGAGACGCACATAAAAATGTCATTAGCCGCACAACGACCATACTAGAGGCTATTGATTATTGTACACAGAAGCCAGCCAGCGGTGAGTATTTATAATATAAGAGATAAGTTCAGTAAAATACCAGCCTGGAACAACCACGCACTTGTATGACACATGGAAGATCAAGTCTGGTGCCACACACAGGGTCAAGACCTGCTATGTCGGGTGCGGGCTCCAAAGCGCCATCATTTGCTGCGCCGGCATCAACATCAACTGTTGCTTCAGCACTGACATCAACGGCTGGTCCAGCGTGGACATGAACTGTTGCAAATGTCCACACCTCAGCACGTACGACTGCTCAGGTGTGGAAATTTGATAACACTGATATAATTTTCCAAACTTATACAATCCATGCAATTTGCAATCCCTGCAGCCCACAATTGTCCTTGCAGTTCAATGTTTCTTTCTTGGACAAGAATCAGACACAAGATACGATTTTTCGTTCAGTGTGTGGTTATCTGCTTTACAATTTGATTGAGAGGCAGTTCAAAAGGATGACTTAGTAATTCACTGAGGTCGTCACTTGCCTTGTTCTTCAGCAAATTTTTTCTCCACTGTCTGATACGCCCGATTTTGTTCCTGGCAATTTTCACATCGTCTCGAAATCCTTTCCATCCACGGCTGCAACTAGCAAAATCAAATTATGCTAACTTACTTGGTATAATTTTTGCTTCTCGCCCTCAACGAGAGTTCAACTACTGCCCGGGACAACACCATGAACACAGAGGAAGGCGGAAGCCAATCGTCTTTCTTCTCCACCTCCATACTGTGTAATGGCGTTCAAACAATTTCCGCTACCGATCGCGACCCTTCATGCCGTCTGAAGGAACCTACCTTGACTAAATCGATGCCGTAGAATCTGATTCTGACTGATGCTTGAGTGTGGAACCAAGGCAAACACCTCAAAAGCGACTTTGAAATCTACAAGAATCTATCGAGATGCGTAATATGGGCACGAATTCGCCGTGTGAGGCACCAAACGAAAGCTTGAAACCTACTCTTCAACGGTGCGCCAATAAAAACGGCGATAAACTCACTCTCCCTACCTAAAATCTACGCCGAAGACCCCGCTCTGAGCTGTGCCATGCCTGGCATTCAAAATGCATGCATGCGTGTCAAGGTACTTTTGCCCCCGCAGATCACGTGACTGAAATCCCTAGTTTGAGTGACTGTCTGCATGTGCACACACTCGCATGATGTGTGTTGGTGTGTGTGTGCATGTGTGTGTGTGTGTGTGTGTGTGTGTGTGTGTGTGTGTGTGTGTGTGTGTATGTGTATGTGTATGTGTGTGTGTGTGTGTGTGTGTGTGTGTGTGTGTGTGTGTTTCCATCAGCTGCAGGTAAGGCCTACCACTGCACCAGAAAGCCTGTCAAGTTCAGTTTCTGCCATGTCCTCTGCTACAACAGCTACGGTAAGTTGAACAACATTTTTTGTCTGTAAGGCGAGACCAAAAAAAACTAGTGATTCCCGGGCCCTCCCGCACCAAAATGGAGCCAAGGCCAATTTTTTTATTTTTTTTAACAGTTCATAATACATGTACAGTACGTACTAATCGTGTGAGTAGATCTGTGACGTGGAGTCACACAAACCCGAGCTTGTACGACTCCCTGATGTACAGATCAGAACCATCGTTGGCCGAAATACAGAAAAATTGAACGGGTAAACCGCGTGCCTGATTTTTGTGAAATTTGAATACTTGGTCCGCGTCAGCGACATTGTCGCTTATCTTTCAGCTTTGTTAAATGTCGCCAAAGCTCACTCGGCAGCCCATTTCATCTCAATTTTGGATAGAAAGTTAGTTAACTAGTGTACAGAACTATCACATGTCACATGTTGCACGTTGATACTATTAGTGTATTGTAGTTACGATTTGTGTACAGAACTGTCACATGCTGCAAGGGCAGTATTGTTAAGACCTGCTAGGTCGCTTGCAATATTGGTGCGGTGCGTATTACTGCTATGCATTTCGCGAGTGTAATATTTATTTGTTAGTCTGTTAGATCTGTTACATCACGAGTGCATATCTGTTACGTTTACGTCGACACATTTTACGATACAGTAATTGCTATGCGTGTTCGTACCACGACATGTTCACGAGCGGAATATCTTGTGAATCGTGCTAATTTATTATAAGTAGAATTGTTGACACACTAATTTGGTTGCAATGTACATGTACTTACTAGTACTTGATCCGTTGCATTATCGCCATCCGCGGCAACTCCGCTACGATCTACTTGGCGAAACTTACTCTCGCTGACAGGGTGTGCTGTCACCCTGTTGCTGGGTGCAAGCACCCCTTGACAGACACTGTTTTCCAATTCTTTAGTCTTTCACTTCAGCAGATTGCTAGTTTCTGTTTTGTTCTGCATTCAAATTATTATTGCTTTTCTTTTTGTTGCACCTGCACTCCGCGCTGCACGTGCACGCGGACTTTGGCAGTCGCCATAACTAGTATCTCTATGGCTACGATGATTCATGCATTTTCTGTACGCTGCATTTTCTCTCTATGCCACGTCGTTGTGTACATGCATGCGGCGCAAGCCAATGCACGCACGCGGGCACGTTTTGCTGAGGACAGCGATTTGAGAGAGAGAGAGTTTGTCAAGTTTGAGAGAATGGTGGTTAGCTTCTTGCCCAGATTAGTGACAGTTGTGGTTGTTGTTTGCCTTTGCGTTTTCCTGGTTTCATTCTCTGCATTTTTAGTTGTGTTCCATGTCTGCATGTTGTTTTCCGAGTGTCAGTTCACTACACCAGAGTTCGAACAATTAGAATTTAATACAGTCTTCTCCGAAAGAGAAAGAGTCCTAAACAACTGGTCCTTCGAGCTGGATCTCGGACTGAGCTTGTTCTGTAGAGTGTAGTAGTATGTAGACATTGTAGTAAAGTTATAGTGCTGTGGAACGTAAAGTTAGCATCATGTCCTCGGCGTCAGCTCCGCGTACGAGCCAACGCTCAACCAAGGGTGTGCCACCATTGAGATATGGACACGAGGAGCCCGAACTCGCCGCGGCTGCGGATAAAAGGAGCTCGGTGTCCGCTGTCCCGTCCACGGCCAGTAGCGGTTCCCAGCTCAAGGTCGAACTGAAAGCTACAGAGCTGGAAGCGGCGGGGGAGCTCGCCACCATGGAGTTAGATGTAAAGAAAAGGGAGATTGAACTCCGCAAGGACATTTGGGCCAAAAAGTTGGCGTTAGAGGAAGCAATAAAAACGGAGCAGCTGTCCCAGAGGAGTTCCCCGAGGCGACGAGGGCATGGCTTGACTGCGGAGGAACTTGCCAAGTTTGACGATGCCTTGCAAAGATGTGGCAATACTCGTGTCGTCCCGGCCGCAAAGTGCGTATCATTGAGTCGTGTGGACCAGGGTCGCGTTGTCAAGCCAGCAGTGCAAGCTGGTGCCGAAACCCGGGGATATGATAGCCTGACTGAACATACAGCAGCAGTGGATGGCGCGCGGAACATGGACTGGAGAACGTTAGCCGCAAGGCAGTCAGCTGGCACGTCTGAGGCCTCCGACGATTCCGCAGTGTCATTCAGTCAGGCTCAGCAGCCAAGGCCAATCTGGCACTCAGCTGTGCGGCATCCAGGAGCTGCAGTGCAGCACACAATGGCAGTGCAGCACGGAAAGCGAGCCGTGCACCATCACCACGCTTCAGT